CCACCTTGATACGGCCCCGTCGTCGGGCGCCTTGATACGGCCCCGTCGTCGGCCCCCTTGATACGGCCCCGTCGTCGGCCGCCTTGATACGACCCCGTCGTCGGCCACCTTGATACGGCCCCGTCGTCGGCCCCCTTGATACGGCCCCGTCGTCGGCCGCCTTGATACGGCCCCGTCGTCGGCCACCTTGATACGGACCCGTCGTCGGCCCCCCTTGATACGGACCCGTCGTCGGCGCCCCTTGATACGGACCCGTCGTCGGCCGCCTTGATACGGACCCGTCGTCGGCCGCCTTGATACGGCCCCGTCGTCGGCCGCCTTGATACGGCCCGTCGTCGGCCCCCTTGATACGGCCCCCTTGATACGGCCCCCGTCGGCCGCCTTGATACAGCCCCGTCGTCGGCCGCCTTGATACGGCCCCGTCGTCGGCCGCCTTGATACGGCCCGTCGTCGGCCACCTTGATACGGACCCGTCGTCGGCCGCCTTGATACGGCCCCGTCGTCGGCCGCCTTGATACGGCCCCGTCGTCGGCCACCTTGATACGGCCCGTCGTCGGCCCCCTTGATACGGACCCGTCGTCGGCCCCCTTGATACGGACCCGTCGTCGGCCGCCTTGATACGGCCCCGTCGTCGGCCACCTTGATACGGACCCGTCGTCGGCCCCCCTTGATACGGACCCGTCGTCGGCCCCCTTGATACGGCCCCGTCGTCGGCCACCTTGATACGGACCCGTCGTCGGCCCCCTTGATACGGACCCGTCGTCGGCGCCCCTTGATACGGACCCGTCGTCGGCCGCCTTGATACGGACCCGTCGTCGGCCGCCTTGATACGGACCCGTCGTCGGCCGCCTTGATACGGACCCGTCGTCGGCCGCCTTGATACGGACCCGTCGTCGGCCGCCTTGATACGGACCCGTCGTCGGCCCCCTTGATACGGACCCGTCGTCGGCCGCCTTGATACGGCCCCGTCGTCGGCCGCCTTGATACGGCCCCGTCGTCGGCCCCCTTGATACGGACCCGTCGTCGGCCCCCTTGATACGGACCCGTCGTCGGCCGCCTTGATACGGCCCCGTCGTCGGCCCCGCCTTGATACGGTCCCGTCGTCGGCCACCCTGGCGTGTATTGCACCCCCTCCCACCCCAACACGCCACACGCAGACTACCTCTGACTGAGCCTCCCACGTTAGGAAATTGAATTATGTTGCAAGAGTCGTAAACCGGAGGGGGGTGTGTGGTGAGGGTCGGGCAAGGGTCGTGGCGAGGGGCTGCCACTGCTGTAACAATAACCCCGGATAATTCCATGCCCCGGGAGGGTCAGGTGAAGTAACTCTTGGTAGCTTCGTGACGGAGTATTGATATACTCATATACTCATCATGCTTGTTTGACGAGGCATTACGTGGGTGCGAGTGGTGATGGGACGAGAAAGGCACGCACGGTGTAACCTGATTCCGTAAATCTGAAAGCAAGTAGCGGAAATATAGGATGTCATTCAAGTCGCCGTTTGTGCATTCTTGGGTGATTCAGTACGCAATCCCGGGACTTCCTGTTTGTGTGTAGGAGTATATCAGAAGAGGATCTTAATCGAGTCGCACCCATCTTGTGCTTCTGGGAAGATGGCGCGTCATCAGAACGACTTCATCAACATTTCCGACTAATGTGAAGGAGTTATTGTATTGCTCTGCCAGTTGAGTCCCCGGCGCTCTCTCCTTTGTTAAGTAAAGGGGAAGAAACCCGTGGCCACTACCCCCCCTCTAATCCACCACTGCAATGTGATCCACAACACATGTATGGGACGTTTTTATCGCGCGTTTTTGTGATGTGTGTTCTTGGCGTTCTCGAGCGTCCGGGCTGTAATCGCGGGTGATATTTCCTGGTGGTTGAGGTTGCATCACTGTGCCGAGACGCGCGCCAAATCTAGCCCTCGGTGCCATGGTTTGCTGGCAGCGCCAACTTCAAGATCTTTTTTACATTCGCTACCCCGCAGAATGATCACATACCCATGGAAGTCATTGGTATTTTGACAAAACGCAACGAAAGATGCGTGTATTCTGTGTGTATAACTAGGAGAGCAGTGTCGGCAGTCATGTCAAACAGCAGGCAGTGAGCGTATGGCAGCGAGGCAGAGAGACGGTCGGACGTGACAGAGGATCGAGTCTTGGATACGAAGGGAATCATTTGCCATCTCACAGTGATCAAGGGGCAAGCCTGTCTCGTCCTCCGTCTCATCTCGAAAGTGATTCATTGCTCGGAGTGCGAGTGATCAATTAGAAGCGAGTGCGCGTGATGTGAGTGGAGGACATAGTGTTTACTAAAGTGTTTGCGGGAGCCGCCAGAATATGCCAGGCTCCCGCTAACTGGCGGGCGTCAGTGTTGCCACCCTCAGGCTACAGCAGACCTTCTGCCTCAACGGCACGTTTGGCTGCATCTCGTGTGATGGATCTGGGAACACTTTTCATAGCCTGTCAGGTGATAGTAACGAACAATTATTGGCCGGGAGAAAAACTGGGTTATAACAGACGTGTGTGCTTGTACTTATCTATTTGTGCTTGCGGGGGATGAGCTCTGGCTCTTTGCTCCCGCCTCTCAACTGTCAATCAACTGGTATACAGGTTCCTGAGCCTAGTGGGTTCTATCATATCTACACTTGTGTGTACCACATGTATTCCCGGCAGTACAGTCAGGTTTCGTTCTCGACTCACAATACAAAATTCCTGGTTCGAATCCCGGGCGGGACAGAAAAGTTTGGGCGCGTTTCCTATCACCTAATGCATCTGTTCACCTAGTAGTAAATAGGTACCTAGTGGTTAGTCAACTTGTTATGGGGTTGCATCCTGGGGAGGGTCAGTAATTCGACCCTGCGGGGCAACCTGGATATAAGCCTAACATGTACTGCATGTATAAAGTGACCGCCTGTCCCTCCGACACAATGAATGAAAACTGTGTATGGAGTCAGCCTCCACCACATCATTTCCTAGTATTGTACATTTATCAACTACTCTCACACTGAAAAACTTCTTTCTGGTGTCTCTGTGGGTTATTTGGGTACTTTCCACCTGTGTCCCCCTTGTGCGAGTACCAGGCCACTTTTGTTAAATAATCTGCCCTTATCTACCCTGTCCATTCACCTGAGGATTTTGTATGTTGTAATCACGTCTTCACTGATTATTCTGTCTTCCAGCGACATGAGGCCCAATTCACTCAGCCTTTCCTTGTAACTCGTACCTCTTAGTTCTGGAACAAGTCTAGTGGTGTAACCTTCTCCAGCCTCCAGCTTCGTGTTATGCTTTTCAAGGTATGAACTCCATACTGGAGCTGCATACTCTAGGATGGGTCTTACATATGTGGTTTACAAGGTTCTAAAGGATTCCTTACACAAATGTTTAAATGCAGTTTGATGTTAGCCAGCTTCTCATACGCCGCTGATGATATCCTTTATATGTGGGCTTCAGGAGACAGATTCGGTATGATATCAACTCTTAGATCCTTCTTTCTGTCCGTTTCATTATGAACTTCTTCCATTCGGTACCTTGTGCCCCTCATTACTTTACATTTACTGGAGTTGAACTTTAGTAGCCATTTGTTGGACTATTCCTTCAGTTTGTTTAGGTATCTTGTAGCCTCTTGCTGTCTTCCTCGGTCTTAATCCTCCTCATAATTTTTGCATGATCAGCAAACATTGAGAAGAACGAGTTTATACTCTCTGGGGGATCGTTTACACATATCAGAAACGGGATAAGACCATGGGCTGAACCCTGTGGGACTCCACTGGTGACATCTCGCGTGTGTGCGTGCTCGCCTAATTGTGCTTGCGGGGGTTGCGCTTGGTCCCGCCTGTGCGTGCGTCCTTGACAGAATGTCATGCGTGATCCCGGCAAGAGAGGGCGCCATAAAACTTTTATGTAGATCATATTTGGACAGTTCCACAGTCATCACATCTGAACACTGTTGTATCTCTGGTGCAGCGGAACCCTCTCCGTCTCTTGAGTAGTACGGGAGGTGGTACTACTCAACACGTGAAGCAGGCTCTTGTAGGTCTAGAGTACACTCTTGGTCATTACTCGCACGGTCTCTCCCAGTCCACTTGGGCTGGACGGTAGAGCGACGGTCTCGCTTCATGCAGGTCGGTGTTCAATCCCCGACCGTCCAAGTGGCTGGGCACCATTCCTTCCCACCGCCCCATCTCAAATCCGTATCCTGACCCCTTCCCAGTGCTATACAGTCGTTATGGTTTGGCCCATTCCCCTAATAATTTCCTCCCTCGCTAGGTCTCTGATAATGTTCCATGTTTGTACATGTAAAGTGCGAGGTATTGGGGTGTGTGTGTGTGTATTTACTGTTTGTCCCTGCAGGATCGCGCTGCTCTTATAATTATAATTCTCCTTTCTAATGTTCGGTATATATATATATATATATATATATATATATATATATATATATATATATATATATATATATATATATATATATATATATATATATTTTTTTTTTTTTCTTGTCACACACACACACATCCCCATGATGCAGCCTGTGGGTACCTATTTACTGCTAGGTGTATAGAGGCATCATGCGAAAGAAACTGGCCATTTGTTTCTGCTCGACCGGGAATCGAACCCGGGCCCTTAGGATTCTGACCCTCAAAATACTGTCCGTTCGGTTGTGTGCGCGCGTTTGTGCGTGCATGCATGTGGGTGAGTGTGTTTGTGTACGTGCGTATGATTGTTCGTTAGAGGCGATTTTAGTTATTATTATTAACATCTTTATTGACGATTTTAGTGAGCTTAACACACCCACATGGACCTCCCGGAGCCTCCACACCACTCTCTCCCCCAGTTACCCGTCAGGAGAGGCGAAGTTGTGTCATTTGAAAACGATGACAACGGCGGTACGTGCGCGTGGGTTAGCCCTCTCTTGCTGTGACAAGTTGTCTCCGCCGCTGGGGGTGGCTGTGGGTGGTGTGGGCGGCGGCGGCGGGTGGTGGTGGGGGCGGCGACGGCGGCGGGTGGTGGGGGCTTCAGATTAAAATAACGTGAGATGAGCTCGGTGTGGGGGCAGAGGGCGCGCGATGTGGGTTGTCATATAGTTACTGGAGGCCGTCATTTATTATTGCGGAATATAACGCCTTGACTGCCTCTTGACGAGTTAGCGTGCTAGCAGAGGCCAGGTGTATATAGTCAGGTGTGTAAGTGTGGAAGACGAGGCAGGGGATGGTTGATAGAATAGTGGGTGTGGATGTGTGTGTAGTGGCTGCACCCCATCATCACTGCCCCTACACCTTGCTCCCCCAAGTGCCCCAAACCTTGTTACCCCGGCACTTGGCAGTCTCACACTACACACACACATCAAACACGCTACAATCAGAGCGTGTATCAGAATTAACATTCTAATAGATCGTATATGTCATTGGTTAATGTTTAACAAGAGTTGCGCCAGAGTGAGCGAACACGTGTGTGTGTGTGTGTAGCACTTTGATATACAGCGAGAAGTGCCATAAAGTTGTGTGGTGCCATTAAGGAAGGGGAAAGTGCCAAGGAAGCAGGATGTCACCCTACACGCCTGAGGACTTCGAGAAGAGTCCTCGACGTCAGCCCTACAAGTCTCCTTACATAGTAAGTGTTCCCAAGTCGACAGGGGATATATATATATATATATCCCTGTCGGATATATATATATATATATATATATATATATATATATATATATATATATATATATATATATATATATATATATATATATATATATATATATATATATATATATATATATATATATATATATATATAATATATATATATATATATATATATATATATATATATATATATATATATATATATATATATATATATATATATATATATATATATATATATATATACATATACTAAATACTGAATTTAATATACAGATATATTCTGAACTAAAGTATATATAATTGTATATACCCTTAATAACCTTCCAGAGGTTGATACGCCTTTGTTCCAAAGCCTCAACAACAACAGGGATATACACACAGAATATACATCCAGGTATACTCTGGATTTTGTTAAGGACTGAGGTATACTTGATGGTTAGTGAGTCAGGGTGCGTGTGACCTTAATAACCCGCCATAAGTGTTCAACAATGGCAGCGAGAATGCCTCTTCATCTGCTCTGTTCCATGCCATTGGTATTTCCCCGGCAGTGGCTTGCGTCCAAGCTTTTGTGTGCGTCCAAGCTTTTGTGTGCGTCCAAAATTTTGTGTGCGTCCAAAATTTTGTGTGCGTCCAAGCTTTTGTGTGCGTCCAAGCTTTTGTGTGCGACCAAGGTTCACGTACATACAAGCTTTGTGTGCGTCCTAGGTTCATGTACATACAAGGTTTGTGTGCGTCCAAGGTTTACGTACATACAAGGTTTACGTACATACAAGCTTTGTGTGCGTCCAAGGTTTACGTACATACAAGCTTTGTGTGCGTCCAAGGTTTACGTACATACAAGCTTTGTGTGCGTCCAAGGTTTACGTACATACAAGCTTTGTGTGCGTCCAAGCTTTACGTGCATAGAAGCTTTACGTGCGTCCAAGCTTTACGTGCATAGAAGCTTCACGTGCAAGCAGGCCGGTCACGCACACAGGTGACGCATCATTATTGACTAATTGTGCCAATTTTGTATTAATTGTTCAATAAATAATAAATGATAGGCCTAGGGGTCCAGGCAGTCACGCCGGACTATCCCATCCTCCTGTTTAGATAGCCCTTAACTATGTGCACTATCGTACATATACTGACGTAATGGACAATTAGATAGTAGAATTTGGTACTATTCACTATATAGAGTTTAAAAATAAAGTTAAAACTCTAACTTCGTTGGCCTAGTATAGCACATATACTCTTTAAGCTACAGATAGCATGGATTAAAGTTAGAATGGTTTGGTTAGGTTCTATTAGCAACATAAGTTAAAAAATATATACTTCTGGTGTGTCCAATTTCAATAGTACCAAATTCTACTTTCTAATTGTCCATTGCGTCAGTGGACGTAAGGCCGTACGGTGGTCCACAGCCCTACAATAATAATAATTCTATGTACAGTACTATGTACATTGTACATAAGTACTATGTAAAGAGGAGGATGTCCCGGAACGTGGTACCGAGAGTCGTTTATGTAATAATCTAAGATGAGATCTGATAAAGACCTTTTGTGCCCTCTGTAATGCTTTTTGCGCTACCGCTCACAGGATGAGTATGGGGTGCACAATAAACTAGCCGCCTCCGGCTGCAACAATCAAATCAAGGGTCGTTTTGATAGTCGTCAGTTCTTAGCGTCCATTCCTAGGGTATGACTGATATCCAGGCGTCTCGGGCCCTTCCTCGTGTCGCTACAAGCTATTTTCATGGCTTACAAGTGTGAGGAGCGCTGCAGGTGGGGACGCAGGTGAATCAATCACTGGCTTGCATCAGGTGAGTCAGTAAATCAAACTTCCCTTTTTACATCGCCGTGGCGTTGAACCGTGTGGTCAGACGGCTTCGTTCATCTTATTTCTACACTTGGTTTCATTTCATATCTCTCTTTCTCTGGTTTATGGTTGCCTGAGCGTAAGCTTGCAGCGAGTGAACGAAATCTTGAGGGAGACTGCATCGCGGCCGCTCTCAGATGCCAAGAGATATTTTATGCGTACTCGCTTGAGGATGTTGGCGGTAACCTGATTCTTGACTGGCTGGTGGGCCGCGGGTGGATATTGTCACCGTGTGGATAGTATACCCGAGTGTGGGTGTTGCGGCGTTATACGCTCCTCCTGCAGCAGCGGCTGTATAATCCCAACTATGGGTTTATATCACACGAGGAACCCTACCTTGCCCGGGGTCCATCTTGGTGTTTATTTAAATGAAGTGAGACTTGTTTTTTTTCTCTTCTGGGCAGCCTAGGGCAACACCGGGCTTGCTCTCGCTAATGTGACCTTGGGATTAGTGTGGGTACTCGCCTAGATGCACTGCCCTAGATGTGTTGACAGGGTCGACCTCCAGCTCCTTAGCTCCTGCTTGTCTGTCTCCATCTACAATTGTCTCATTTGGTCCAGCTGTTTCTCATTTGAAAGATATGGTGTTTACGTTCGTGATGGTGAACTCGCCTAAATGTGCTTTCAGGCTCGAGTGCTAACTCTTTAGATCCAGGAACCTCTAACGCCTGGATCCAGGAGTTAATCCACCTCACATTAGAAGATCCACATTAGAAGATCGTCACATTGCATCCACCTCACATTAGAAGAAAAACAAAATGCAGTATACAGTATAGAATGGGGGAAGAGAGAGAGAATCAGTCGCTTTCTCATTTTCGTTTTCTTTAATTGTCTGTGTTTTCTTCTATTAAGGCTGATTCTTGTTACTTCCTTGCTTAGGTTAAACTTGAGATAATCTTAAGTCCAAACATTACTAGCACGTGTGTGTCATGTATCATAAGTATTAACGTCTTTTGGACGCAGCAATTTCTCAAGATGATCATCTCACATTTTCTGTTGCCACGATCGGCTTCCCATCCTCGTAAATATTGTAAGAAATGTTTGTAATATTGTCGGCGGCCCCTAGGAAGCCAGACCACTGCTGGCAGTTATTTAATGTGATTTAAATCCTCGAGAGAAGCCATAAGTTTATAAGACGGTGCAAACAGCATGACGTCATAATCTCATTTGCATATGTAAAGGTTTCCACCAATCACAAATGCTCACGAAACGCAATAGAAAATGGACGCTTAATTTGAACAATAACTCTTTTATTGGTCGTAAATTCGACATGAAATTTGTAAGCGTAAATAAACAAAAAACTCGACGTAAAAAAAAAGCCTGAGAGTCAAAACGTTAATAAAATAAAAAATTGATGAATTTGGAGATCATACTCCAGCTCATGGGCCCCACCTTTTGGCTTCAGGTGGGCACGTGTGTGTGTTTCAATGTTAGGCGCGATAATTGGGTGATCTCATTGTTTTATTGTATACACGGGAGTGAACGATAGTTGACTCATATTTCATCCATTTGGACTGGTCGGTTCAGCGACCGCCTGGCTTCTTGCAGGGTCGACGTTCGATTCCCGATGGTCCAAGGGGTTGAGCATTCCTTCGTCCTAACCCTTCTCCTTGTTCTCATATCCCAGCTCCATGACCTCATGGGGCGGTGTCATGAACACACCTGAAAGCTGAACTACACATGGCCTTATGTACTCATCTATGTGTGTTTTCGGGGGTTGAGCTTCGACTCTTTGGACCCACCACTCAGTGGTCAATCAACTGGTGTACAGGTTCCTAAGCCTACTGGGCTCTATCATATCTGCATTTGAAACTGTGTATGGAGTACATTCCATTTGTTAACTAATCTAACACGGAAACACTTCTTTCTAATGTCTCTGTGGCTCATTTGAGTCCTAAGTTTCCATTTTGATCGTGTACCACTCATGCTAAATGGTTTGTCTTTATCTACCTTGTTAGTTCCTCTGAGAATTTTGTACCTGGTAATCATATCTTCCCTTACTCTTCTGTCTTCCAGTGACGTGGGGTATGATTCCAGTAGTCTTTCCTCATAGCTCATACCTCTCGGCTTGGGAACTAGTGTGGTGGCATATCTCTGAACCTTTTCTAACTTCGTCTTGTGTTAGACTAGACTTGGACTCCACGCTGGAACCACATACTCAAGGATTGGTGTGACATATGAGGTATTCACGATTCTGAATGATTCCTTAAAGCCTTTCGGCAGTTTTTTATGTTGGCCAGCCTCGCATATGCCGCTGATGATATTCTTTTCATGTGGGCTTCAGGGGACCAGTTTGGCGTAATATCAACACCCAGATCTTCCTGATCTCTAAAGAATTTCATCTCCCAATTGGTACATTATGTCTGGCCTCCTACTACCTTCACCTATTTTTATTACACTTTTGTTTGAGTTAAACTCTAGTAGCCATTTGTTGGACCACCCCTTCAGTTTGTCCAGGTCATCTTGTAGTAGTCTCTTGGTGTCCTCCTCTGGCCTAATCCTTCTCATAGTTTTAGCATTGTCCTCAAACATTAAGAGGAATGAGTCTATACTCTCTAGAAGATCCTTTACCTATATCAGCCACAGGATGGGTCAGGGTACACAGGATGGGTCAGGGTACACAGGATGGGTCAGGGTACACAGGATGGGTCAGGGTACACAGGATGGGTCAGGGTACACAGGATGGGTCAGGGTACACAGGATGGGTCAGGGTACACAGGATGGGTCAGGGTACACAGGATGGGTCAGGGTACAGAACCGTGAGTGACACCGCTGGTGACATCTCGCCATTCTCAGGTCTCCACAACCTCACAGTAACGCTGTTTTCTGTTGCTGAGGTACGCCCTTTTTCTACTGGAGCACCTTACCTGTCACTCTTGTCTGTTTCTCCAAATTTTGCTATAGCCTCTTGTGCAGTATTGTATCAAAAGCTGTCTAACAATCTTAGAAAATGCAATCTGTCCACCCTTAGGTCATATTAAACCTGTGAGGCACGATTTGCCATCCCTGAACCCTTGCTCGTAGTGGTGTGATACAAAGTCCCTTCTCTCCAAATGTGCAACAAGTTTTTTTTTTGTTCACACAATATTCTCCATCGCCTTGCATGTAGTCTAG